AACATAATGCCCTGAATGCTGTAACTTGGGCCTTTTCAAGGCGAGAGTGAATAGGCATTATTTAGGTGTGCATGCTACATCGTCGACTGCATTGTCACTTTCTATCAGGTAAGATGGAGTTCAAATGCGCACGTTTTGGATAAAAAAAATGTTGTCCATGAGGTTCATTTCCCAGATTCACATTTGTGTTGTAGACCGGACAAGTCAAAATTACAGTGCGTTCTTGGTGCGTCGGACTTACAATTATATGGACGTCGGGTCCGCGCTAAAAAGTGTCCGAACTTATAGGGCGTTAAAATCGTATATAGAGCGTCATTCACCTTTAGTCTTCGTTTGTTCGACTGACAGCGAAGCAAGCAAAATTAGAGAGTAATGCGATGACATTATAATTTAAATTCAACGTTTTAGCTTTTTCATATTCCTTTACCTGTCACTACGTTTAAATAGGTTGACTTGGGGCATTTTTTTCGTCCCGTCGTCCATTTATTTGTAAGTCAATGATAGACACCGTTACACACACCATCTTTATCATTTTAGTCAAAAAACGTCTAATGCTGGACATGGGCCGTCCCCAGAGATCTCGACAACGACCTGTCTTATGCTTCTTGTATCGACCAGATTCCCCCAACCTTCAACAGGTCACCAGTCCAGCTTGTGGATGACCCACGCTGCGTGTTCTGTCCAAGCACGCACAATAATATAAAGAAATAAACAAATAGAGACAATAAAATCAAACAAAACACAAATAAAATTAATAGTGCAAAAACCAAGCCAAACTCAAAAGTTTGAGGAATTTACTTGTATTTGCCGAGTTTAATTGACATCGGTTAACGGAAAGTGGCGAAATCCAATAAACCGGATTCATCCCCTAATTTGCCACCCTTAGAGATGTAATATTTTCTTCAAATTTAAATGGGACCACTACTGAGGACCTTTTGTGGGTTTATAAAAAAAAAACATTTAAGTCCCAATTTACAAATCGTTCACAATGAAACTACAAGTGTAGAAACTGTTTCAAAATCTATCTTATAATCTGAATTTGTAAATGCAGCTAAAGGTGCTGTTGCGAGAGACGCGGCAGACGACAGATGGCAGACATCGATCGCAGACGACGCTACTGAATTATATGAAGTTGATTCGACGCGAGTGAACACTGTCACATGATAATAACCAGTTGAGCTGTCAACGGAAAACCAAACCAAGGACTTAATGTAATAGCGTACTAATTTCCGCAATGTTTTTTTATTGTATTTGTCGGCATTTTAGCCGTAAGGGAGACGTTGGGAACCACCTCTACCGCCGATTTAGTCAGTGATTAAATAAAAAACGTTCCTGGATGGGCTTATTCATTCTTGGTTATCAATTCGTTCAGCCGGCGGTGAAATAATCATCAACATCAGTTGATTGCAATCAACATCAGTTGATTGCAATTAATTTGTTTTGTCAAAAAATAATCAACATCAGTTGATTGCAATTAATTTGTTTACTCACTTTTCACAGAAATTAGTTTGAAAGTGAAAGCGTACATATTCTTTTCTTGAAAATTTATTTTTTATGATACAGAGTGACGGGACGAACAAGTCGTGCGCCTGGTGGTCAGCGACACGCCAGTCCATAACATTTCTCAGAGCTTTAAATAGCAAAGATCTGAGGGGCACTGCCACTGCACCCGCCACCCTGATACATAAGTTGACAAGTCTCATGTATTATATCTGTAATTTCATTAGGTTTTATGATACCAATTGACGGAACGAACAAGCGTGCGCCTGATGGTAAGCGACGCGCCTGTCCATAACAGTTGTATTGCCGCCGCTCAGAGTTGCGTTGTTGATTTATTTCGTTTTTTTTTTTATTTCCGTTCGCTATGAAATCGAACATGGCGCCCACTAAAATAGTTATAATTTTAACTGACTTGAAAAAAGAGAAGGATCTCATCATCATCCACACCCCAACTTCACCCACTGCTGGGTATAGGCCTCCCGTAATTTGTGCCATCCCCCACGATTCTGTGCTAATCTACTGCCCGCAATTTTGACAATGTCGTCCACCCATTTCGCTACAGGACGTCTCACGTATCTATATTCATTTCTTGGCCACCATTTGGTTATCGCCTTACTCCACCTGTGTTCACCACGTCTCGGAACATGTCCCGTCCAGCTCCATTTTAACTCGTTATCCGATTTCCTATGTCCTGGACTTTAGTTCGTCTACGGAATTCGGAACTCGATCTATAAGTTCGATGCTGATCATGTCTCGCTCCATGGCTCATTGTGCGTCTCTTATTCTGTACACAGATAAGGATTTTAATTCGACTATATTTTTTTAATTACAGCAAACATCTGAGGGGCGCTGTGGCAGTACAGCGCCCGTCACCCGGAGACATAAGTTGACAAGTCCCATGTGCCTGTAATTTCACCAGCACCCTTACTCTTTCAAACAGGAACGTAGTAATGCTCACATTACTGCTTGGCGGCAGAAATAGGTAAAGTGGGAGGGCTTCACTGGACGAACCCGTACATAGATATAATTGTTAAAAAAATGTACTAAAACTTGACATATTTCCTGAAATTAGTGATAAAGAGAGTAACTACGACTTGATATAAAAGAATGCTTTTAATAGCTGCGTTATATTCTAACAAAAGCGTAAATTAATAATCTTGTTTGTCGTAATTTGTAGGCAACATAACATTAGTTTTAGAACGATAACAAGGTAATTAGTTAATTGTATCTAGCGACTGGTTTAAAACCATAAGCAGGCGAATTTCGCGGAACATACACACGTGTCATTATTATGTCCATAAAAATATCGCTGTCTTTAATAATCGTGTCGTTTCTTTAAAACCGTATGGCCGTTTTATTACTTTCAACTAGAGGTTAAAATATGAAGCTACCGTTCTAAAGTGGTGGATACTTTGGAATGAAATAATGTACAAGACTGTTTCTCAAATAATCTCAGTACAGAGTACTAAAAAAACCGACCACAAAAGTACGTGTAATCACATATTATAATTACCACGTTTTATTGAAATCGGTTACAGGGAAAGTACGCAAACCCGGATTCATCCCCTAGTTCGCCACTATACGGACTTGACACAGGAGACAATAAAAATCGGTTCTTGCTACTCAAAGTATATTGAGAGAGAAAAACGCTTTGAATTGGAGAATAGCAAAATCAACCATTAAAATAATTGCTCTTTACTATGAAATTTAGGCGCTATTTATAAAAATGAATCTTCATGCGTGAACAGTCGCACTGAGAACCTCCTCCTTTTTTTGAAGTCGGTTAAATATACGTACTTTTACAAAAAAAGGGGTGTGCCCTGAAATAGTAAACAAAAATACTATGTTATTATTCAGTCGCAAAAAAATAAATAGGAAAATTTTAAAGAAAAACACGTTAGTTTTTAAGACTACGAAGAACAAAAAGTGTAATCTTGTTACTTCATTACTAATTCGTCATTTGTAAATAATTGACCTGACATTGAAAGTATATAATAATAAATAGATCTTAATTTTAAACAATTTATAAAATAATAATTATAATTCACGTCTCATTAGCTGAGACGGTCACATTCATAAGGGGTGAAAGGAAACGTGCGTACAGATTTTTACTGCGACAAAAAGCTTGTTATAAACACGGAGTTATTCGTTTTGATACTTTGTAAATTGAAATTGAAAATTGAAAATTGTGGATTGAATATTGTGGTAACACAGTGGAAGAACGATCTTTATTCAATAATTTTTTAATTGACGTACATTAGTGAATGTTTTGTAGCAATACCTGTCTCAAACGGTAAAGAAAAACATTGTGATGGAACCTGCACCTCGAAGAAGGTTTACAACTGCTGAAAAACGTGTGGCGTCTCCAACCCACATTGAGTCAGCGAGGTGGATTACAGCCCTTTCCTTATCAGATACTCGTTCCTATAAGTTGACTGATTTAATGTTGTTGAAAATAATTTAACAACTTGTCTCCTACGAACTATGATTGCATATCAAATTAGGGTTTAATATATAATCCTGCCATTTATATAAATAGTGACTAACTAAAAGCAGTAATAACAATAATAATAACGATCAACAAAGCCCCGCACTAGGGAAACCCTGTGTCGCGGGTGCCATGGACATACACATAGACAACCACAATTTACACTCAAACTCACGAGAGAAATAAATGTAGGCCATACAAATATTTCTCCCGGCCCGGTTCCATTGGAACCCGGGATCTCGGCGTGGCAGTCCAGCATAGTAATCGTTCGGCCACGGAGACAGTTAATACAGTTAAAGTAAGTAAGTTAGTCTTATTTTATATAATATCTAGTGACGGGATGAACAAGTCATGCGCCTGATAAGGTCACCTAAAACTAATTCTGAAGGTTATCTCAATTAATATCGAAGATTGTTTATCGACATGAAGAAGAAGGGAGAACGGTTTCATCCCTGGAGGTCATGGGATCGATTCATCTCAAAGTGACCTGCACCAGGTCTTCGAATAATGTGCAATTTAATCTTTACCGATTACCACTTGCTAGACGGATAAAAATATCCTGAAGAAATTTTTATTTATATTAAATTATTTATGAAATTCGTCTAAGACATGTAGTGTCCACTATTTCTACTTCAAGAGGAACCAGGGGTTGAACACGTGTGGATATTGATGATGTTGTGATAATTTTTATACCATATGTATGTAATAATAATAATAATAACGCACACACTCAACATAGTCCCGCACTAGGGAAATCCTGTGTCGCGGGTACCATGGACACATACATGAGAGAAATAAATGTAGGCCATACTAATATTTCTCCCAATCCGAGAATCGAACCTCTGCGTGAGTTTAGTGAGACAATTTAAAATTCACAGCTTGCAGCAGCAACTTGTCAAAACTATCACTTTCATTTTTAAACCACTAAAAATTCTAAGTATCAAGACAGTTGGGTCGGTGCATCATGCGCAGGCGCCGACGGAATTGCTAACAGCAAAACTTTCGGTCAGTCCACGACTGTCTCTTACCACGGACAGACGGCAGGACAGTGATGATTACAGTATAGTTAGCGAATTATCGATCGTTAGTTGTAAGTGAATCTAAATTTTGTGTTATTTTTAATCGTGTGTGACTTTTGTGCAGCTGTGCTAGTTTAGTGCGATTATATTTCTGGAGGCTTTTCTGTTTTTGGGAATTTCGAGAAAATGGTAAGTTATTAAATGTTATTAATTAAAATCAAATTTTTATCATTCATTGTTTTAAAAATAAATTAGAAAGTCAGAAAACGAGTTTACAAAATTAAATAATTAGGCGTTAAAACATCCGCATTTGACCAATTAACACAGTTTTTAATATTTATAATATAATTTATATATTTTTTATTTCAGTCAATAAAAAATTGTAACCTTCGACAAAAAATACATTCACAGTCCTCTGAAAAAATTCTAATATTAATTATAAAGAATAAAAGCATTCGTATTTCAAAATCAACATTCGATATTTGAAACAGTCGACCGTTGCAGCCGAGCCGACAATGGCTAAAAACACACGGTTTCACTGGGTGAAAGTGGTTAACAATCGCGGCTAGAAATCGGCGCGCGCGCACACGTACTGACTTTGTTTAATATAGTTTTTCACGTTGAGAAACAAAGAGTTAAGCTGTGCTTTCTTTTAAGACTTTTTAGTTAGATATTTCAAAATGATTCTTAGTTTGACTTGACAATAGATATTATGTCTTACTTACCCTTACTAATTAGAGATTACTTCTTTATCATTACGTATTTATAGAGACGGATTAAAAGTTTCTTTTTCGTCATCAACTCCATTATACATCCCACTGCTGGGCATGTGTCCAATACGGGTCTTTAAACATTTTCCATGAGTCATTGTTCTGACTTGCTGATGAATAAATTTCAAAATTAATTGAGTGAAGAAGAAGATTTTTCACAAAGGCACTGTGGCAAAAAAGTCGTTAAAAACCAAAAACTAGCACATAGAAAAATTCGTAAGGTCCGCTAGTTCATTCCGTGTCTTAGATGGCGTTGCGTCTGCCACGGTTTGCTGGATGATGTTGGTTCGAATCCAACCGAAACGAAGGATTTATTCTAACTGTTCGATCTTTGTATTATTAATTATAAAATAAATAAATAAATAAAATTGTTTATTCAGTAACATAATGTACAGAGAAAACTAAAGACTACTTATGCGATTTAATGTAAAAATAACACATGTACCTGAACTAGGAAATTCCTGTATTTCAGGTAAAAAGTACTACTAATTATGAACGTGGATACTATTAATATTATAAATACTTTTTAGGAGAATCTTATGAAATAAAATTAAACAATTAAACAATAAATTGCCAATAAAAAAAAATGTACTCTTAAATGTAATTATATAAATATAATTATATGTAATTATAACAAACTAGTGGAGTAATTTCACAAAAATAATTAAATATCATGGTGGTCAAACATCGTGAGTTAAAAATTACAACGTTAACTATTTCCTATCACCAAAAACTCGAATGGTTTACATTCAGATTTGGAGGTAAAAGTTAAAACGTTCTTGAACTAGTTCGCTAACTGCATATTCATTGAGTTACGCAAATAAACAGTGAAAATTATTTTTGCTTTTTCAATGTCATCTTGTCTGCTTCTCTTTTAAGAAACTCGGTACAAGTTTTTGTATTGTGTTTGATGTACACTGAGGAAGTACTGCAAAAAATTCAATCACCATGTATAGTTTTTGTAATGGTAGAGCTCCTCGCAATAATCTTCGTCCAGGGAAGTACTGCCACCTTACCTATTTCTGCATTTATCATTACTGCGTTTCAGTTTAGAAGGGTGCTGGTGAAATTACAACATGGGCCTTGTCAACTTAGGTCTCAGGGTGACAGGCATAGTAGTGATATCAGATTTTTGCGATTTAAGGCTTTGAGTGGTGCTGTAACTGCTATGCCTATCAACTGCCTTCGTAGCTGTAGTTACCATGACTGCCACGCAGAGGTACCAGGTTCGATTCCCGGGCGAAATATTTGTATGGCCTACATTTAATTTTCTCGTGAGTTTGGGTGTAATTTGTGGTTGTCCATGTGTGTGTCCATAGCACCCGCGACCCAGGGTTCTCTAGTGCGGGGCTATGGTGAGTTGTTTCGTTATAATTTATTATGAACAGGCGTGTCGCTTAACAACAGGCCCACGATTTGTTCGTCCCGTTACTTTCTGGAAATTAAAAATCATAAGTATATGCCGTCACAGTTAATCCAAACCACTGTTGGGTAATTTTCCAAAAATTTTGAAGTAGTAGAAATTTTTCCGGAAAAAATCCCGAAATATTCGAAAAAATGAACGTAAACTTGTATAACTAAAAGCCTCTTATGGAAAAATGAGATCTATAATGATTTCACAACAGCGACAAAAACCTTTTCAATGGCTCCATCGGTTTCGTTCAGTAACTTTAACTTTTGACAGATGTTAACGTCAATTGTAGAAAATTAAAGGAAAAATATTGGAAAAATATCCGGAATAACATGATTGTTTCAAAATGGAAATTTTTCTATGACCAATACTAATCCAAACTTATATTATATTATAAATGTGAAAGTATCTCTTTTACGTCTTTACGCCTAAACCGCTGAACCAAATTTGAAGAATTTTGGTATAAAGATAGATTTAACCTAGGAAAAGAACATAGGTCTCTTTTTGTTACAAAAATAAATCTCAAAAGGGGTGAAATAGAAAACCAAAGTTTTTTATGGAAAACCAATAAAACTATGAAAATTAATTCTATGCTGACTAAAACGCGGACACTGGTTTGGTAGTTCTCAAATAAACTGGTATTGCCTCGCAATAAGAGAGGTCACACACGGCGACTTACATCGGCAAACGCGATGCAGTCACTAACCTGCCTTTAAAAACACGCGGGAATTTAAGCAACGATGCAAATGTCCTGCACGTTTTTTATTAAATAACTGATTTATTTATTTTATATGTTTATTATAAACAAAACAATATGTATAAACATACTCAGATAACCTTATAGACTATCGTTTGTATCGATGCAATCGCGCGTTTTTATCGATGCACTCGCGCGTTTGCATCGATGCAATCACCTATTAATCGCAAGTGTGGCGATGCAATTGCGCTTTTCACAAACGCGTGTTTGCATCGTTGCTAAAAGTAGCCATGTGTAACCGCTCTTACGTGGCTACTTGCATCAATACATTGGCATTAACACACCTCCAAAACTAGGATAGCGAGCGAACTGATGACAAAATTACAAAAGTACAAGGAAACCTACTCAGGGAACTTATTAGCTGCATTCAAAGTTGAAACTCAGTCCAGTACGTTCTTTGAATTGGCAATCTTGCCAAACATTGCCTTACAAACATTGACTTACAAATAAATGGACGACGGGTCTAATACAAAAACCACGAAAAAAATGTCCCAAGTCAACCTATTTAAACGTAGTGACATGTAAAGGAATATGAAAAAGCTAAAACGTTGAATTTAAATTGTAGTGTCATCGCAGTACTGTCTAATTCTGCTTGCTTCGCTGTCAGTCGAACAAACGAAGACTAAAGCGTGAATGACGCTCTGTATACGATTTTAACGCCCTATAAGTTCGGACACTTTTTAGCGCGGACCCGACGTCCATATAATTGTAAGTCAATGCTTACAAAGGAGGATGTTCCCCGCTTTCTGGGTGAACTAAACTTCATCCATTTAATCTAGTTAAATATTTAATATCTAATAGTCTCTTGTATCCTGATATTTATGCATGTGCGTGTGCGTGTGTGTGTGTGTGTGTGTGTTGGTTTGTGCGCATGTTCACTTTAATTTGTGATCTCAATTATCAAAGTCAAAGTGTTATCATAGCTTAGTGTTTGTAAGTATAAGTAGATTTTCTTTTTAACATTCTTTTTTCATATTGTGACAAATTTATTATACCTAGTTTTGTTTTTAGTAAATTATACACTCTGCCTGACCGAAAACGCAAAAATTTTTCAGCAAATGATGTTCTAACTGGAAGTGAAACACAAGCGGAGTAGTGTCTTCTTTTTGGTCCATATTAATGAGCTTTGGGGATGTGTTTTAGAGTGTTGATGAAGAGTAATGGAAAACAAGTAAAGCTGTCTAATTGTTAGCAGATTCGACTCTTTGTACAGACTTTCGGTTGGGAATAAATTGGGTTTAAAAAAGCTCTTTCAAGTTCATACAATATCGGTATATTTATAAAAGTTGAATTATGATCTTTCTCATATGAAACATTGGCCACTTATACCAGAAAGTTCAATCGAAATCTAAAGACGATCAAATTAAACAGTCTGGTGTATGTGGCCAGTGATTCATATTATGAACATTGTTATCATAATCCAACCTATTTTAGAGTTCCTCGACACAAGTGATTACCGACAGTTTTATCGATAGATTGTGAAAGGCGATAAAGTTTTATTATGACGTGATTGATTCATAATTTTTTTACCACCGTCTTTCTCCTTATTTTCATCCATTGGTACCGAAATCAATTCGTGTTCGTAATATCGTATTCTTTCAAGTTGACATTGATTTTTATTATATACTTTATTACGTTTTATGCATCTTAATTTACATTTAAATAAAACAAGTTCGGGCATTTATTGCGTAACCATAACCAATATTTAATCGACTTTATTGACACAAAGAAAAATTCCTTTGATCTGGCTGGACTTGAAACCACTGCCAAACTACTCTCTCGGCTATCGCTCTCACAACTAAGCTACGTTTCTATTAATAGTAATAACAAACTAATGGTTTTACAAAAAAAAGTGATATGCTGTAAATTAAAAGTTGCATTTAATCGATAGTCGATAGAATATTTATCGATTCGAATCACCAGCTGCCTGTAAACTGACAACATATGCTGTCGTCTACTAATTTAAACGTGGCTAATTGACAAATGGTCCAATATCCGTTTTAAATAGCAAATAATAGAGCATAAAATTCTCTTTTAAAAATAATTGAAATTAGGTAATGTGTTCGTTTTTAACTTAGCCACGTTTTAGTAATAATAACGCACACACTCAACATAGCCCCGCACTAGGGAAACCCTGTGTCGCGGGTGCCATGGACACACACATAGACAATCACAAATTACACCCAAACTCACGAGAGAAATAACTGTAGGCCATACAATATTTCTCCCGGCCCGGGAATCGAACCTGGGA